GTCACTATATATATATATATATATTTAACAGCCGCTTGCATGAGTTGACATAATTTTGATGAATTATTTGAGTTGGGTTTGTTGCTGTAGTCGCCGACAGGCGTTGATAACTATATCTGGCTGTGGTTGGTAGCAGAAAGTCTGGTAATAATTATGATAGCTCTGCAAAGGGAGAAATTAATATAGATGCGAGCGGAAATCCCGTAAGAAATATAAGAGATTACTACAAGTATTATTAAAATTATTTTATGATTATATTTGGTACACATTCTGGTTTAAAAAAAAAAAAATAGCTACTCGCTTTAAGTTCAACAAAATTAAAACATAGCAGTTGCCCCCAAAAAAATATTTCAGCACACAAAAAAAAAACTTTTAAAGGGGATTGTGTTAAGCCCAACAAATCCAAACAAACGCCACTAATTAAACATAAAATTAACAAAACATTGCCAACAATTCGGCGACAATTGCTGATCCTGGTTTTGATACAGATCCAGTAAACCCTTGATCCTATGCAGATGCCCGCTTCAACAATGGCCACGAAAGGGTTAAAGGTGTAAACATTTGACAAAAGTGTCACATCACATTTCTTAAGACAGCTGTCCCGATAGCAAAAGCGATGGTGGTGACTAAAGGATAACACAGGACATGGGTTTTTGTCATGCTAATGGCTAGCAGGCAGCTCTGCCCTTGCCTTTGTCCGCGTCAGCGAGAGGCATAGCTGCAAGTGTTCCAGCTACTACAACTCTGGTTTGACAGCTGTCAAAAGTCCAATAAGTCATATGGAATGTTTGTCAGAGCGCCTTCTGCAAGCCGCATAACGCTTAACCGCTGCGATTGAAGTGTAATTACAGGAATTGATTGATCGATCGATTGACTGCCAGTCATGCATTTATGCATGTGGGCTGTTGTAGATTGGCTCGGGCTGGTTAACCGTTGCCGTTGCTAGCTACCAGCATCATTATGTGGCGGTAGACTCTTCATTAACGGGTAATGTGGGCTCCAACTATGTAAAAGAAAACTTTGTACACACATTTCGCAAAATGCAAATAATTGAAAATAACATAAATATTCACAGACTTAATCTCTATTTATACATAAATATTTTCTCTTTTTTTTAATTTTTCACTTGAATGTGAATTCAATTCATTAAATATTAACGTAAATTAAAATTAATTTACATCGCGAATTGCTTATTATTAAAATACAGACTGAAAAATAATATTTTTGTCAAATGTTCTATGTATAGATTATAAGTTTTTTATTATCTTTTTTTTTATTATTCTGTTAACTCTCACGAAATTTAAACGATTCCCAACTGTGAATACAATTCACCAACTCTATGCGAAATTGAAAATGGAGAAAAACTCACATCGTTTTGTATGTTCTCGTTGATTTCGCAAAATGTGATCGAATAACAACTGAGAACTCTATTCATTGAAAACGAATATAGAATATACTCAAAGAAATTAAAAGTTTGTATTGTTTTTATAATATTGATCAAATAAAAACCGTGAATTTAATTCACCAAAACCTTTTGATATTGAAAATGGAAAAAAAATCAGCATGAGATAATTAGCTGAAACAAAAATGAAAGCATTTTAATGGAGAAATTTTGTTGCTGTTACATTTTTTCATTTAAGATTATAATTTAAGGTAATGTATGCTAATTTAATTAATTCTCTAAGAAACCCCATGATCAGCTTTTTATCAATTTGTGCCGGATATAAGCACAGAATTACTGATTTAATCTTTAAGTGCAAACCACACAGCAAAGATAGGCAAAGCTTGGCCAGAGAACTACCTCAATCAAAAACTGTTTTACAGCTGTCTGGCTCAACGGAATTTCTCAATTAAAACATGCAGCAGAGCATCAAATTGATTGATACCCCCCATCAAAAGCAATCAAACCCGGCAGCTGCCTATCAAGAAGCGAAGGCAGAACTTCCAGACGCGAGCTCGTCATGGCAGTTGCATAGATATTTAAGATGCAAGTGCCAGGATACGCGCGCTTGTCTAAGTGTAATCCTGTTAGGCGAAAGTTGCAACTGACGCAACTTGCAACCCCCTCAGAAAGAAACCGATTTTTCTGATATCAATTTTGTTGCCTTACCCAAGCGCAAAGCCGACATAGCTCAAATGCGCAATTTTCAGCTTGACTTGTCGCAAGGCAACAAATTTGAGTGGAAGGCGACGCAGTAGCAGGAGCAGAAGCAGACACATGTCAACCTTAATTGAAAAAAACAGAACGTAGCAGCATCCTTTGGCATCCTTTAGCATACTTGGCCGCGGATGCTGTTCATTTACAGGACAACGCACCTATAGAAAGCGATTTGAGTAAATTGCGCTGCTCAATTACAACGAAAAGGAAAATAAAGAGCAACAACTCCACAGTATGCGACTTGGAAATACCCTGTACATAGCTCTGAAACGCACTGTTAGCCTACGAAAATTTCTCACGTTTATAAATTTTATTACATTTTTTCAATTATTAAACAATTTACACTGCACTTAAATTTATAGTTGAACAAAGAAAATGTATTCAAAAAGAGAAATACTCCAGGCCTATATATATTTATAGTTTGCTATACTTAGCTGTTATTTACTCAGAGATATGCTCAACATACCGAACATTTCTAAAATCAATAAATAAATATCGATTTTTAAAATATCGATAAACAAGAATTAGCTAGCTTAGCGTATAATATATGATGGCTTATATGCCTCTGTGGTATAATTTTATTTATTTTTTTAATGCTTACTTCTGCATACACTTAACATGAAAACAGCATACCCCTTTTGGACAAACTGGTACAGGGTATAAGTTCAAATGTAACGCGATTCCTGCGCCTACTGTTTGCCTTCACCGTTGACTTGATGCGCACAAATAAAAAAGGAGTCTCAACTACGTTTCAAATTAAAACTCATTTAATGCGCAACAAGGATAACAAAAACATCTTTAAATAAACAGGCACCGACAGTATATGTTAGGTAACCGCTAGCAAAGGATAAAAGTTCCATTCGGGACAATCTGTATCCATGGCCTGGTCTCAATTTCAGCCCATCTACGTACCAGGATCTTGTTCGTGTTTGCCAAAACTTTTGATTTATGTGCAGGAGACGGCATTTTTAGAGACCCAACCGCTCCCTCTAGAGCCCGTTAATGAATCTTAATTTCTGTGTTTAACAATTCCGCGCTCAAGTGCCGCTCGTCATAAATTTTAAATCTTATGCGCATCCCCTTTTTATGGCTCATAAGTGTGTGTACTCTTTCTTTAATGGCCTACAGTTGCCTTTAAGCATGAAAAGCAGAAGCTTGCAAATATTTGCAAAAACGAACTGTAAGCTAAAAGTTGTCGCATAAAAGAACTTCAATTAACTGGGCTCAGACCTGAGAATGAAAGTAACATAAAAGAAGGGCTTAAATAACATAACCGGCGTGGTAACTAGTTAACACAGACAGACAAACACCCTGCCATGGCTATATCAATGATAATGTTCTAGAAGAGGGTCGGAGATGCTTTATTTTATGCATTACACAATTCATGTTAAATACACAAAGGTATACGAACAATGGTACCCTAAAAAAATGTGGAAAATATGGTAAGATCTTTAGTATCTGATATATAGGAAAATATATGAAAATCATTTGTGATACTGAGTGCCACAGATGCTGCCATAGGCCAGCCACATTTGTGGTCTAAGCACTAAAATCGAGGCTAATCAAACTGGGCCAAACTGACTGGGCTGGAGGCAATTGAAAGGGAAGCAAACAGAAGAGCGAAAGTATTGACCGAGGGCTGTCATGATTTAAGGGCTTTTCGGAAAATAGCATCGTAAATGTCAACAAATGGACATAAGGACAAAGAGAGGAAAAACTGAAATCCAAAAACTTTGCAGCCAAGTAGTGCAAATGTTCAAGGCTTCGGCCCAAGTGAATGGGCACAAGGACTCCGGCAATCTTAGCCGTAAGGGATATAATAAACAAAGCGCAGGCTGTTCGTTAGATCGTAAAACAACGCGGTGGACAATGCAAACGCCGCAGGGTAACTGAGCACGTACTCATGAAAGGACATTCGCTCGGGCAGCTCCTTTTTTCGGCAATATATGACAGCCACAAGTCGGAGACGTGTGCAAGGTGTGCGCCGCAAAGGACTCATAAATTGCAAATGAAATGAGCCAAAACGAAAGGACACCGGAGCCATGTAAATCATTTAAGCCAAACGCTTCTGTACTTTCTCTATTTTGCACTAATTAACAACAAATAATGATATCACGAGCAAAGGGAAGAGAGAGCGAGAAAAAAAATGAAATATCTAGTGAAGAAAAAAAACATCTGCTGCTGCTGAACGGGTGTTTCGAGTGCTAAACAAATGCCAGCCGGTTGCAGATTTTGAGGTTGAGGAAGTGTTGAACCATTCGGACCACCCGCTGTTGTCCTGCTGCGTGCCGGGGCTCGTGCATTGGTTTGAACTCTCGACCAGAACTCCAGCATTGAGATGTCCCGCTGGCGACTCTCTCAAATCCGATTATGGATTTTTGTGTACCCCTGCTCTGAGCCATACGGCTTGATTTCGTATTATGACCATAATTTATGGTCGAAACGATTAGAGCGAACCAAAATCGTGTGCAATAAATTGATAAGTCTACTCTATACTTACCCAGAGCTCATACGTGTGTTTTGATAAAAAACTAATCGCGCTTACCTGCAAGAGAGAATAAAAGCCTGATTAGTGCATGCACAAAACTTTTTAGAAATTAAGTAAAATTAAAACCTAGATTTAAAATTCGAAAGAATTTAAATATACTTTACAGACTTTTAAGCCTACGTAGGAAATTTAATTAAATTTAAATTTAAGAACTTAAAAATAAAATAACATTCGGCAAGCCGAAAACTAAATACCTTAGCAGATTTGTGAAACAAGTTTAATCGAAAGATAACATTTATGTAAATCTTTTCAATACAAGGAAACCCCCCACTTCCACCTTTCTTTTGCATAAACTAAGCTTCAGTTCTTCAGCACTTTATTAAACAAAAATAAGTCGAAACAAGAGAGAAACTTGCCGATATCAGCAAATAGGCTCAAGGGGTAATACGCCCTTGACCAGGCCCAATATAATGGCTGTTATCTCGTACCAGGCCACATTCTCAAGCACCGTATTCATGGGCGGTGTAATCAATTGCTCCATAAACTGGGACACCTCTTGTGGGTTATCATTGATGAGCAGCTCGAGAAAATCTTGGATGATGGCATTTAAAATCTTGGTAACAATTTGAGTGCTCCCAATGCCCGTGGTTTGGGAAACGGCTTTGCCCAGCTGCCAGCCGACATTCCAGCTGGTGATGTGCACACCATTCGTCAGACCCGAGGGACGTAGCACAAAGCTGCCATTGGCGCGCAGATTGATTAGCTCCAGATCAAAGCGACCATTGCATCCCAAGGAGGTGTTGGCGCCAAAGATGCGACCCAAAAGATCCAACTTGTAGGCGGCACTCTTCAGCTGTATGCTCGGAAAGCTCACGTCGAATTTGATGGTGTGAAAAATATTATTCCATTGTAGTTGAAAGAACTCGAAACCATCCAGACCCACCACAGAGAGATCGGTAAAGTTGCCTTTGCAACTGCAATTGAAAAGGGGAATTGAGCCCATGTCAACGTTCTGCTCGAGAGCTTACCTAAAGCTATCCGTATGGATATCTAGCTCCTTATAGGCCAACTGAGCGGGCGCCAGGATGGGTATACCACGCTCTGGATAGCCACAATGCATCTGAAGACGCAGAAACTCCGTAAACTCACGTAGGTCATCATCGAAGAGCGTACGACCGGCGCACAAGGAGCAGCAGAGAACAGCAGCAAGTACAAAATACGAACAGCGCATGTTGAGAACTTTTAGGAAACTAACCGAAAATGTTAGGAGCTGACAGGTGTCCACAAGAAGATTAAGAACTCAAGTGCATGTCGCAGATTAGATTGGACGCTTGTACAGGTGCTAAATGTGTTGATAGCAAGGGTTTTTGCTGAGCAAAGCAGCCTAAAAGTAGGCAGGCCTGGTTCAACAGCTTAGAATAAGCTGTAAGAGAATGTGGAAGATGTGCTTCAGATGAACCACAAAGATTTAACTTATAATAGTTTCTAAAAGTGTATTTCGACTTAGTTACTTTGATAATGGAAATTCATATATAATTTTTCAATTTGAACTTGAGATATACTCTATTAGGATAACTTACATACTATTTTCCTAGCTCTGATAAACTCTTAGATAGATAGAATCGAACTTGTCTAAAACGACTAACCTATTGGATGTAGATAGAAGATGTCGAATCTGTGCTTAAGACAAACCACAAAGATGTTGTATAAAAAAAAAGTTTCTTAAAGTGTGTTGCGACTTAGTTATTTTACCAATGAAATAAACTTCACAAAAAATTTCTAGAGTACTATATATATATATACTTGATAAAGATGACTAACATACTATTTTCCTAGCTATAATAAAGTGTTAGATCGATGGGTTCGAACTTGTCTAAGACAATCTAAGCTGTTAAAGATACACTTCATTTACTACAGTAATGCATATTAGTTTTTGATAAAAAATCACGAATATAGCGAGAGAGCTGTTAAAGCTTTATTAAGCAATTGAATTTGGATATGCTAGTATGTCTGTGATTTAAGCCCAGGGATCTGCTGGTGGCACACAATCGACAACAATTGGATCATCCTCATTCTCGTTTTCGCTGCTGGAGAGAATCAAATCGACCAGGGTCCAGAAATCCTTGCCCTTCAGTACTTTGTTGACGCGTGGCACCAGCGTATCCTCAATGGTATCGGAAATGGCCTGCTGATTCTCACTGATGCCCTTGACCAGCAGATTCTCAATCTGGCGATTGACGGCACGATTGATCTTGCCATTGCCCATGAAGCCGCTTATGTCCGAATCCACAGCTTCCAGCTCGATGTTGGTCTTCAGGGATAGAATCTTAGCAGATCCCCACAGAACTGGCAGCTTGTATTTCAATGTTCCGCTGACACGCAAATTAATCAGATCGAAGAGCACCGAGCCGTCGCCCTCATACTCCACGGACAAGCCCAACTGACGCATTGCATCGATCAAAGTGTCGGTATCGTACTTCTGGACGGTCGTATCAATGTTACTGAACAGGAAATCGAAGGTGATCTTCGATGTGATGATATTCAGTTTGAATTTTTTGATCTTGAATTCATCCAGACCGGCGATCTTAAGACGGAACAAATGAGTAATGGTCTCGAAGATGCCGCGTTTTAGATTCAGGTCAGCCTCGTTAACGCGAATCGGCGCCAATGGAGGTATGCCGAGGTCGGGCCAGCCGCAGGGCATTTGCTTCTGCAGTTTGCGGATCATGCGACGCACCTGCCAGGAGACCACAAAACGTGGTTCAACTGATGTGGGAGATTTTTATTAAATTTTTTTTTTGTATTGCTATGCTAGGCTTTACTCTAGGCTCACCCTCAATACCCTGCTCGGGTTCCGCAAAAAGCTCAATCTCGCCATTCTCATTGGCGAACTGCAGCAGACGCTGCTCGAGCGGATTTGGCTGTTGCTTGGGCAATGTGCCCGCGGCACAGATGGCCACCAAGCAGGCCGAAATTAATAGAAAACGCATGTTGAAAGTCTTTTGGTCAACCTGCTACTGAATGGCCAATTGTTTGGCCGCCAGCTTTTATAGCCGCACTATCGACCACCTTAGAAACGATAAGACCTTAGCTAGATAATGCCTGCAGATAGGTATAATCTAGGGAGCTACGCGTAGCTAATTAAAACTCAGTTCATTGAAGGCGTACACATGGTTTATTGGTTGCTTTGGTTACTTTTGCTTACTGTACAGCCAACCAGGGCGCCGGAGTGGGTGAGCACTTCGTGTTGACGTTGACCAGCTGCTTCAACAGGAACCAGACCTTATGACCCTTGAGACGCTCATTGACCAAGGGCACAAAGTACTGTTCGATTCTATCACTGATCTGCTTCTGGCGTCCATTGACAAAGGCGGGCACCTCGTAATCAATAATGTCGTTGACCATCTCATTAAACCTGCCGTTGCCCAAAATGCCGCCAATGTGAGAGGTGACGCCGCCGAGCGCAACGACACAATCGAAATTATAAATCTTAATGGAGCCAAAGATGAAGGGCATCTTGTACTTGAAGGAGCCCTGTATGGACAGATCCTCCAGTGTGAAGCCCATCGGTCCGGTGCCCTCATAGCGCACCGATAGACCCAGCTCCTGCAGCAGATCGATCAGCGTATCGGTGTTCAGTATATGCGAGCTAATCTTGAGCTCCTTGAACTTGAAATGGAACTGAACCTTCTTGCTAAACGTGTAGCTGACCTTTAGCTTCTTAATCTCCATGTTCTCCAGGCCATCGAAACGGAAGCGCAGAAACTGAGCCAGGGCACTAACAAAAAACCAAATCAGGAAAACTCCCACAACAAGCTTTTAGATGCGACACTCACTCGACAACAGATTGAGCCAAATGAATTTTCAGATCTGCATTCGTGTAGGGCGCAAGTGGAGGAATACCGTACTGGGGAAAACCACAGGGTAGATGCTCCATCAAATTCTTCACCGCCTTTTTGGCCTGAGAGTTCAGTATCAAGCCATATTCATCGGGCTTAGCGGCTAAGCAAAGCAAATGTGCACCGAGATTAAATCAATCTTTGGTTTAGACTTCGCGTCACTTACGATTACGCTCGATAAGCCGATTCCACTGCTCCTCGGTCAAGAGGTCCACTTCGTAGGCCGCTGCACAGGCCAAAAGGGTCACAAAACAATATACGAAAGCTTTCATTGTGGCACTTCGATAACTGTTGTTATTGGGCAGAGCCTACGGCTTTTATAGCCGCAGTTTACACCAACTAAAATCTGGATGGGTATTACCTATTTTTAACCTTAAGCAGCACAAAACTCGCATGTAATCTAGCCAGAGATTAGCCAGTCGATTTGCACGATACTTTTGATGATAATTTCAATAATAATTTATATCAAGCTCTTGAGCTTCTTATTTGGTGAGACGGTAATCGCCTCATCGTTATATATAGCGGGTTGTAAGAAGTGCAAAACACTTAAATCCTAATCTTGACATCCAATTGCCCAATCAAGTTGTCGCTATGATTTATTTTCAAATAAATGTGTGACAGCCATCATTTCTGTTTGCCCCAGTCAAATTCAAAGCACTATTTGCAGGTGTTCTAAAATACCTCCTGCAGGTGTTTCAGATACCCCACAGACAAAACACAATGGCCTGTTGTTTGCGACGATCAAATCACGCGCAACTTACATAAGACACAGAAAATATTGATATTTATTCTGTTTGATTACTTTGATTAATCAATCAGAAGGGAAATTACATAGATCCTCTAGACCATGCAACCCTTTAAAACCCAAGAAATACTTTGAATTTCGATTAGCAAGTCCGTATTAAACATTACTAACTATATATTATAGCGATACATTTTCTTTATTTACCTTAATCACATCAACAACAACAAGAAAAATTGAGGAAATGTTCTTCCATTTCCGTACGATCTTAACATCAGGTTATAAGACTATCATCTAATCCCTCGAGAATTCCATTAAGTCCTGGCATATATCAATTATTATTTTCTATTCAAATGAATTTTAACGGTTTCTAAGCTTAGATTGGGATGTTCCCAACTGTCTATTAATCTATTGCCCCAATCATAAGCAACTCCAGTTTTAGCTTGTTAGGAAAATTACAAGGCTTAGCCTTAGAATATCGAGACAGCGATGCTGAGACTAACCGCGTTTTAAATAATTCCCTGACTATTCCCTACAAAGTTACATATCTAGTTGAAAAAGAAAAAGGAATATATAAGTACATTTGATTATAGAGCATCAAAGAGTCGCACTGGCGACAATTATGCCAGCGGAGCCATCTTAAAACCTATAAATAAATGTTTCAACAAGTAGGCAAAAATAAGATTATAAATCACAATCAAGTCTTCCGCCTAATCCATCTTAAATTCTATTCATAAAACTTATATTATAAATCACAAAACAGAACTTTGCACTTGACTTGGGTTTAAAGGATAAGTGGAAGATCAGAGCTACAACAACGATAAGAAGGCAGCAAAACTATTCGACTTGGTTAAGGTCCCGAAACCGACTTCTAACTCAAATACTATTCACATCGAATTCAGGCATATTTCTTTTTATAAACTTCGCATTTCTTTTTATAACCTTCCCCTCATTTCACTTTTCGGACAAGTGTTATATAGGATGGAAACTGGCATTTAGGCAAGATAGGGCTCTTAATTAAAAATGGATTTTTTTCGCACAACGAAATGGTCAAAAAACGGTCAGATAAGACAGCAATAGAGAGACCAATCCATGTATGCCTTTGTTTATAAAATTATCAAGCCCGGTAGCTCTTATCGCGCCCCAACTAGCAGTCGGGTCTATAAAAGCCGGCTGGAAGTAGAAGCGTACGATTAGTATAAATACGGTTGGCATTACCTCCAGTCTTTATACGTGTTAAGAGGCAAATAAATATGAAACTGTTTGTGGCTCTACTGGCACTCGTTGCCTGCGCAAATGCTGCTGCTGTGGGCGAGCCAATTAGTGAGTAGATTGAGTAGGGTGTGAAATTTTCAATAAGTTTTCAAATGCGTAAACCCAATCAGGTGAGAGGTCCATCTCCAGCACAGTTGTGGATGTGATTGAGGGTGTGAAGGAGCAGATGCCTTGTGGTTTCCCAGGTGCCGGCATTCCACCAATTGCACCACTCAGAATCAATCACAAGAATATCGACATCGACACGGATGCCGTGAAGATGAAGGGCAGTGTGGATCATTTCCGTCTAAATGGTCTCAACGAATTCGATATTGATGAGATGAAGGTGAATGCGATCACCAGCAAGGTCACCTACAAGTTCAACTTCCGTGATGTCAATGTGGATACCACCTATGACATGGAGATGCAGTTGAAGAAATACGGCTTCACCATCAAAATGATTGGTGCCGGTCACGCCAAGTTTGCCATCAAGGATATGGTCATTTGGGGCACCATGAAATACTCCCTGGGCATGCTCTCCGGCAAACTGAGCCTCAAGTCTCTGGAGGTGCGCACCCATTTGGGTGAGGTTGACTCCGAGATCGAGGGTCTACTCGGCGACGGCACTGTGAACGTGAAGATGAACGAATATCTTGCCGAGGCCGTCGAGATGGTCATCAATGAGAACGAGGATCTAATTGCCGAAACCATCGAGCAGGTTGCCCTGCCCGTGGTCAACAACGTTTTGGATGATGTCAACATCACCGATGTCATCGCCGGTGGTGAGGGTGGTGAGAAGGAGGTCTGCATTCCCCCAGAGTTAGACTGGTAAACAATGTGAACGCTTCATATTTGATTAAAAGTTTCTTTACAAAAAAAATAAATACATATTGTTTTATTCAAATGCTGTTATGTTAGCTTTCTACATGTGTATCTAATGCTTTGATCAATTTGGTATAAATCATATATATTTACACTCATCTAATCACAATCGTTGATTCTTATATTAACTAATTTTTTACTTAATTTTATTCATGTTGTAGCTTATTTTGGGCTCAAAGTAAGAAATAATTTTACACATATCTTAAGTAAATTTTAGAAGAAACCCAGTTATTTCCTTATTAGAGAAACTATATTAGATAATCTAAAAGTAATATTAGAGAAAAATTTTGAGAAAATTCTATTTTGGAGAACTAAAAAAAAATTGGATTATTCATTGATGGAAAATAAATTTTAGACAATCTAATCTATTGCATTTTTATTAGAAAACTTTCTTTGAACTTTTTTTTTTTAATTTTTAAATTAAGAATGAAAATTCTGAATAATTCAGCTTACAAGTTTTAAACTGGATTCATTTCATTTTAACGTAGCTTTACTGTGAAAGCTTTAGCGTAAAAGCTCACAAGCTTTTAGCCTATTTGTTTGTAGTCTTTATGCTTTTTAGTCGGAGGTCCCTTTATGGCCAGCTGCTAATCTCAGGTTGTTGCGACTTATCAGTCAATAATCGCATATAAAGGTATTTGCCAAATTTTATAGCGATTATAGACTACATAAGCATTATTTTTACACGTGCTATACATATTATTTTTATTAGGAGACTTTCGAGTGCTATATAAATGTTTGGCTAGCGTAGATGGGTTCGCAATTAGACTCTGGGGTTCTTAGTTAGACGTTAAAGGAAAATGAAGTCTCTGTCGCTGGTCGCGATTATCTTGGCCCTGGCCGGCTCTCAGGCAGCTAAATTGGTCGAGCCTCCGTCTGGTAAGCATAAAGTAGAGTTGTGTCTTTTAGTTCAGACCAAGTCCAATTGGACGGGCCATTAAAATGAACTACTGAACTTATTCTGTGATTAGTGTACTAAATCGGTCATTTAGTTCACTCGTTCAGCTATTCAGTCGCTCATGAACGATGCATTCTGTACTCGTTCAGTCGTTCATGAACGATGTATGCAACTCAGCAGTTCATCCGTTCCTGAACGATACGTTTTTTTGAGATGTTCAATTCTTAATAAACATAAAAGATAGCAGGATTTTAATATCACTTTTGATTTGTTGAGTTGTAATTTACAACTTTTAACTATCTATTATCAATGGTACAGTATAATAAGTAAAAAGTACAACATATTTTTTGCAACTGAAAACATGAAAAATAACTAAACAGAAATATAATCGTTCATGATTGACTGCATAACTGAACTAAGCGAATAGTTCATGACCGACTGAATAGCTGAGCAGAATTCATGGTTCATGACCGACTGAACAGCTGAACGAGTAAACTAAATGACCGATTTAGTTCACGGCCAGAAAATGAACGAGTGAACTTATTCAGCAAATTGAACTAGAAATCCCAACTCTAGCATAAGGCAAAGATTATTGAATAGAATTTAGTTCATAATGCCAAGTCAATTTCTTCAGATATACCATCACCGCTAAATGCTATTGATAACATAATTGTGGATGTTCTGGAGTCGTGCAAGCTTCGTATGGTGGAAGGTTGGCCACAATATGGCATACCACCGCTTGCGCCTTTCGAGATCCAGCACAAGAATTTCAACTTTGGAACGGGCGAGCTGCACGCCACCGGCGCTCTGGATAGCCTGGTTGTGCAAGGGTTGAACGAGTTTGAAATACGCACTATGAGTGTGAATCTCATACTAAGTCGCATTAAGTTTGAGTTGCATTTTGCTAGCTTGAACCTAACCACCCAGTATGAGGCGGATGTGGAGGCCGGTTATCATATGGCTCGTGGTGGTGGCGCCTTTTTGGCTCTGGAAGATCTGAACATGTCCGGCCAGATTAAATACTCCACGGGAGTGGTGGGCAGCAACAATAATTTGCGCATCAAGGGAATCGAGCTCAATATAGTGGCGGGTAATGTGGTCTCCAATATCGAGAATCTATCCAAGTATCGCATTTTGAATCGCAAACTGAACGAGATTGTGGCGGAGTTCATCAGCCTTACTATCAATGAAAATACGGACTTCGTGGCCGATTGGGTGGACAGCACAGTGACGCCTATTTGCAATGATCTGATTGGCGATCGTTCGCTTAAGGATATTTTAGATCTCATCGGCGGTGGCAGCGAATAGAGGTCAACTTTTCAGCAGGCGTGCAATAAAAAGAATTGTAAAATTCAGCTTTTTTTTATTATATTTCGACCAATCTAAGTCAGAAAATGCTCAAAAAGCTCATTGAAAAGAAAAACAATCGTAAAATGCGTTCATCTAATCGCTTAGAATAACTTTTTTAAAGAGCTTTTAATCGCTCTAAACATAGTTTTAATGGAATAAAATCTTTTTTGGTGATTCGTATAAGATCCCTGCATCAAGTGAACCGAAAGGAGTTTCGGTTACTCGATCAATTTTTCGGCTCAAGCTTTTCGGCCAACATAAACGAAAAAAAAACCTTTTTCCGCTGAGCTCGAACATGTTGCAGACTCGATCACTTAGAACATGGTTCGAACGAATGTCGAATTCGCATTCTGCTTAGCTTAATAATCGAAAGCTCAAGTTTTTCGGGATTCTGTTAAATAGTTGGATTATTCGAGTTTCATGCAAATACATTTACAAATGCAGAGCACACAAACAAAATCTTCCATTCATATTAGGTTAACAATATATTTATGAATAAATGGTTAGTGATATGATTAACTATATAAAAAGCTCTTAAAAGCTTTTAGCCAATTTATAAATTGTTCTTTGTTGCTTTCTCGCTGGAGGTCTCTTTATGGCTAGCAGCTAATCTCAACTTATCAACTGATTGTCAATAATCGCATATAAAAATATTTGGCAAATTATAGAACTATTATAGACACTGTGTATACTAGTAGTTAGACATATATTATACATACGGTTATTATCAAGTGACGTTCAGGTTCTATATAAGTGCGTTGTTTGCGTTATATGATCGCGCAGTTAGAATCTGGTGCTAGCAGCTAAAAGTTGCAAACAACAAAAATGAAGTATTTTTCGCTAGTTGCGATTATCTTGGCCCTGGCCGCCTGTCAAGGAGCCGAAGTGTCCGAACCTTTGGCTGGTAATAATTATCAAAAGATAAATAAATAAAGCGTTCCATAATTTCTGAAATTCTAGCCCAATCGCGCTCTGTAAGCAGCATAATTGTGGATACTTTGGAGTCGTGCAAGCTGCACATGGTGGAGGGCTGGCCACAATATGGCATACCACCGCTCGCACCGCTGGAGATCCCGCACAAGCGTTTCAACTTTGGGACGGGTGAGCTGCACGCCACTGGCGCTCTGGATGGCCTAGTCGTGAGGGGATTGAACGAGTTTGACATACGCGTTATGAGTGCGAATCTCCTCTTGAGCAACATAAAGTTTGAGTTCCATTTTGCTAGCTTGAACCTAACCACCCAGTACGAGGCGGAAGTGGACGCCGGGTATCAAATGGCCCGTAATGGTGGCGCTTTTTTGGCTCTCGAGGACCTGAATATATCCGGCCAGATTAAGTACTCCACGGGAGTGGTGGGCAGCAGCAATAATGTGCGTATCAAGGAAATCCAGCTCAATTTAGTGGCGGGCAATGTGGTCTCCAATATCGAGAATCTATCCAAGTATCGCATTCTGAATCGCAAACTCAACGACGTTGTCGAGGAGTTCATCAGCCTGACTATTAATGAAAATACGGACTTTTTCGCTGATTGGGTGGACAGCACAGTAACGCCTATTTGCAATGATCTGATTGGCGATCGTTCCATTAAGGATATTCTAGACCTCATCGGCGGTGGCAGCAAATAGAGCTTCGACTTTAGACAGGTGTGCAACAAAAAAACCACCGTAAAATGCAATTATCTAATCACTTTTGCCTAACAAGTTATAATCAAATTTCCTCGCTTCTATTTTGGTTGTTCCTTGTAGATATTGGATTTTGATTGAAGTCCCCATGTATGTAATGTAAACAATGTAATGTTATCAATTACATATTTTGATAACAGAATAAAAATTGATATACAATGATGATAGTTCGATGCCTTCAGTTAAGTTCCCATAGTTCTATAGATTATTTAATGTAAATCGATTTTATAAGAAATTTATTATTTTCATTTTTTATTTAAATATGTTTGGACTATGCGAGCAAAAAAAACTCTGTCAATAAATATGTTGCTTGGGTTAATGAACACGCCCCAAAGTTGCACGGCAAAGTCTGGAGAATTTTATTGACCGCCGCACAGTATGCAACAGTTTTTTCACTACCAATATTTTAAGAAGAGTCACTTTTGAATCAACTAACTAAGCAGAATAATTAATTGAATTTGATAAATAAATTTACTATATTTATAATAATACAATAAATATATTACGCTTTCTGACGTGTGCTTTAGATTTGTCAAACTTCACCAGTTCAAAGAAGCTTTAAAAAATCAAAGTAGACAATTTTAGGGTATTTTCCACAGCTTAAATTGCATACTTTTAAGTGCCGCAATGAAAATACATCTAGTTCCCAGTCACATATTTTGCCACCGCCCAGCGATTTTGTCCCTCTGGTTTTGCATTGTCTTATTGGGTAGGGCAAGACAGGCAGCCCAACTAAGTGCAGCGACTAAATTTTAAAAATCTCACACTTGACAATATATAGATATGTCAAACTTCCCCAATCTAAACAAGCTTTAAAATAGCCAAAGGGAAATATTGTGGGAATATGACACAGGTTGTAATGCATACTTTTAAGCGCAGCAATTTAAATATACCAAGTTCCCACAGTCACACTTTTTTGCCACCGCCCAATCAGCACATTTTCCTTCTAGTTTTACATAGTCTTATCAGATAGGGCGAAACAGGCAGCACAATTGAGAGAAGCCTTGTAAGATCTCAAGCCGTCGCTCGTCACTGACAGAGCAGAAACAACAACAAGGAGGAAAAGGTGTTTAGGGAATTTTCCACAGGATGCTATGCATACTCTTAAGCGACGCAATTTAAAGTTATTTAGTTAGCATGGTCACACTTTTTAGGCACCACCCAATTAGCCCATTTTTCTATGGATATTTCCCCACTTTAAAATATTCAAAGGGAAATATTTTGGGAATATCCCACAGGTTGCAATGCATACTTTTAAGCGCCACAATTTAAATATATTTAGTTCCCGCAGTCACACTTTTTTGCCACCGCCCAATCAGCACATTTCTTTCCTCTAGTTTTGCATTGTCTTATCAGATAGGGCAAAACAGACGGCCAAGTGAGGGCAGCGACTAGCCAGCCTTGAAATATCTCACGCCGTCGCTCGCTGTGACAGAACAACAACAACAGCAACAACAGGAGAAAAACGTGCCGAAATTCACATTAAAATTAATTAATAATTTCAAACTGCGGCGCAATTTCGAGAGCACAAAAATAGTGTGATGCTCGCGTCTAATTAGAAATAAATATTATCAAGACAATGGTGCGTTGAGAAGTTCGTTATCAACATTACATTGCATACCCTTAACATTTTTTAGTATAATTAGAAAATATTGCATTTTATAATTATTAAAAATTGATTTAAAGGAATCAAACCTGGACTATAAATAGAAGTCTGCTGATATTATAAACTGGAAATCTTTTCGTGTCTTTATAGAGTATGTTTCTTAATTTTAAAATATATTTACAAATTAAACTTGGGCTAGATTCCTGCACATATCCTATCAAATAGAAATATAGAATGTTGATATTTTTATATGCATACATTTTATTTGAAAAGTTAGCATCAAGGTAACAACTTAATTTTTAAGAACATTCCCTAAAGATTATTTCCTACTAAATTGCTATGGTATCTCTCAGTCAACAAATCTCTATAGGTCCATGCACATACATACATACATACATACATGCATATTTATTTTTATAGACATTTCTGAGCCTTACAGAGACCCACAGAGAGCTGATAAGCCGCAGGTCTCGGAGCATTCAATCATCAGATTTCTTATGTCAGCTCAGTACCAATTTAACAATCGCTAGTTCAAGCCGCAACGCAGAGAGAATTCGCTAGAGAAATGCTTTTTAAATACTTTCCATTAATATTGCTCATGGCACAGGTGAGCTGTCAGATCTAACCAAATAGATCACTTCCCCATAACTTGTGCAATTGCAGTGCCTGCTGGCGGCGCCTACAGCAGATAGCGCCACAGCGGCCAACAAGCCAGGTGATCTGACACAGAAACAGCTGGAACAGGAGGCGCACAATGAGACTATCAACCTGCTGAATGCTCTATTCCGTGCACAAATCGCCTACTTTAGCGGTGTGCGGGACAAGCTGGCGCCGAGCACGAAGCGTGCACGTGACATTGAGCTGTACGTGACCCGGCTGAACGAGGCGATAGCCGAGAAGGAGCTGGACAAAAAGGATGCCATGTGGCTAAACATATTCGAGCAGGTAAGCCAAGCCATATACTCTTTACCAGTTATACCCTAACTTATTGATAACTCTTGCCGCAGTTCAACAAATCGCCGCTGCTGCTGAACAGGCAGGAGGAGACGGGCCTCAGCAATGACGACTATCAGGCCCTGCTTACGGACAAGAAATTACAGGAGATAACAACGAGCTTCGTTCGAGATGTGACAACATATTTCCTGAAAATGGCACAGTTCAGTGGAAAAGTCGTCGAAATGAGCATCGATGAGTACAGGAGTACATGAGCAAGAGACCGAGAGGCGTCAATAAAGTTTACAAGTTTAAGTTCGAAATGAAGCATTTTTTAAACGGGCAAGGAAGACAATTAAACTATCGATAGTTGTTTAGTTGCGATATCTATCGATCATGTCAAAAGTTTCGTACGGTTTTGGTGGGTTCGATGGCTGATCGATATTTGCTTGGGGACTATCGATAATTCGATAACATTTTTATACATATTCCATTTATACAACAGTTTAAACAATTTAACTGGTATGAAGATCAATCAATCCTAATTTTAAATTAAACATATTTAAATATTAAATATAAATCATTTTGAATATGCTATAAAACTGGCTCTAAGACTATCGATAAACATGTATAGCGCTTGCTGTCACGGAAGAAAAGAGCCCATCACAAGCGAGACAATAATCGAGTGCAATTGAAACACATTTTATAATAACAATTCACTTAATTCAAGCCACATAAAGATTGATTGTCAATTAATTATCTAGATGATTCCATTAACACCTTAATACAACTGGGCCGCCGCAACTGTACGTAATATTTGATCAATCTATTAGCGAGCTTCAAAGCGCCAAATGGGCATATAAGTGGGCCTTCATATGTATGTATGAGGTTGAGTGCGGAAATATCGCGCTTTTTCAGCACAGCGGCCATTTATGGGGAGAAAAAAATATATATGTATGTATATTATATGATAATTTTTTAAATGTGATAAATTTCTATAGAACGTCATCGCATGTCACGAATGCCGTTGAATCATCGCGATGATTGAGCGCATACAATTTTGGACACATATCACACGGCTTTAATTGCACAAGATATTTTATTATATATATTATTTATAATTATATATAATAAGAGACTATGGAACCTACCAAGTTTGGAATGTGGCACTGTTTCAAAGCTCTCGTTAAAAAAAAAAATTGATTCATTTCTACGTGCACGTAATTCAAATGATCATCAGACCTAGGGAATCATGAGAACTCAGTTCATGATGCTATGGGTTTGGCTAAATACGAGTCCTCAGGACCTCGACAAAGCTATTTATTGTTCGTAGAATGCCAGCTCAATAGGATAAGGAAGTCTTCACAAAAGTCTTTCAGCCGAAGCTCCAAGAATGCAAATTCTTAAACTAATATTAGCAACTGAAGAAATTGATCACAATGTTGATTATAATCATTTGGCTAAACTTACACCTGGAAATGCTTTTGTATATAAAATGAGACAATTTATGCGATCAAGTGATAAACCTGCAAAGTCTATCTTTCTTAACAACAGGAAAGACAGGAAGACCAAAAGTAATGTTAGGAATACAATGTTCATAATGTGCAGTTCCGCGCAGACGCTTAGTCTGGAACTGGCTACAGGGTATCTTCTCTTCGGCCACTCTCAGCTTAACTTAATTGTTTATTTTTACTTTTTTATGCTTAAGCATTAAATGACAACAACAAATTGTGCAATTCCAATAAAAATAGCTAATCTAAGCAAAGTGCAAGGTATTTTGAATGCAATATATGTTAAAAATAAAATCAGCCACAGTCAGCGAGTGTGAGGCTAAGGGGCGGGCACGGGGGTTTCGGGCGTGGCTGTGGCCAGACGACGGACATGCATGCCTGAACCACTGCGAGCAGCGACGCTGGCGTCGTCGTCGCTCCGCCGCTGCTACCGCTGCTGCTGCTCTGTGTGTTGCACACATGTGTCGCAGAAACATCAACACGCCACGCAACCTCCTGCCACTCCCCCCGCCTCACCACCCGCTCTCTACCTACCACATGTTGCGCATTGAAGCGTGTCGAATAACAATTGCCACTTCCGAATGCTCCACAAAAAAAAGCAACAACAACAACTACAAGATAGAAATGGAGCGAGATATGAGTTTGGCATTCGCAATAATTTGTTTGAATAAAAATCAGTTTATTTTATCAATATTATTGTACATTGAAAAAAAGCCGACAATAAAATAAAGACAGCAAACAAGAGATAAGCGACGGGCACATAAGAGAATCAACAACAATAACAAAAAAAAAAAAAAGAAAACTCGCAGCTCAAATATACCCTAAACAATTTGAGGAATCTCAATTTGAAATATTTCTGCATGGGCATCAAATGCCAATAGTTAACAAGATCTCTTGTTATGAAACCTGAAGAGCAAACTATTCAAGAGAAAAATATTATGCAAAACTATTTATTTAAAATTTAATGTTAGCACGAATGTAAAAGAATATTTAAAAGTTAATTCTATATTATTATTCTGAAGTAGTTTAGAAAATAAACTGTAAAAGGTTTAACCACACAAACATTTCAAATACTTATTTACTTAAGCAAAAACACAAATGGAAAAGCTTAAAAAGAACCAACTGGAAATTTATTAGCTTTAGCAGTTAAGTTTAATAACTTGGCATGTAGAAAAATCATTTTAGATTATAGTAATTTATATTATATTATAGTACTTTATACATTCTGTTTGCCCCGTTCCTATGTATACTATAAATAAATTCCAAGTACTTCTAACACCTGAAGAAAAATAAAACTACTTAGTGACATGTTCGTAAGTTAATAAAAAGTTAGACTAGAAAAACGAGTAGATTTAATATGCCAGCTTGTAAGAAAGTTGCCCATCGAACTGGAACTCGAACAGAACTTGAATATTTTGAAATGAGGTTAGAAAAAATTTACTATACATGAAAAATAAAACTTGTTTAGTTTTGCAAAAAGTTTACAAAACATTAAATTTGACAGCTCTCTATATAAAATTATAATCTAAATTTTGTTTTTAACATATTTGTATTTTTTGTATTGTTAACCAGATCTAACCAGACCTAATATAGCAGCTTAAGCTAGTTGTAAATGGGTGAAAATTTTAATAAGACTTACTACCAATTAGTCTAAGGTGTATAAAACTATATAGCGAAAAGTTTTATTTTAAAGCGTTATGTCTTATAGGACCCTGCTAGGTAGATCCAGTAGATGGCACCATTTAAGTTTTCTCTTTTTGGCTCTAAAGGGACAGGCTCCTGTAATGGGGCACCTTATTCTAGTTCTTCCAGGAGAAGTTAGGCGCCTTACTAGTGGATTGGTGTAGGAGCGAAGGCGCTAAACGAATCTTCTGACATGCTGACGGATTACGTCTCCTACTTTGAGAACTCCAAGGTCTCTCTCGATGTCCCTAGTACGCATATACCAAGGGGCATTACTTATCCTTCAAAGAATTTTGTTCTGCGCTACTCTTATTTTGTTCAGGTGGGATTTTGCGGCAATCCCATTTGCAGTGTATATGTCCATATATGAGTCAGTATTGATTTGTAAGTCCTTACTTTGTGACATGTCTGCTGAACGTGAGCTTTCCCTCCAAAATGACTCCACTTGTATATATTCGGCTTCATGCTTTAAAGTGGAGCCGAGCAACATTAGCTCTGGACAGGATTCTCTCCTAGGTATTCTTGTAACGCCTCTGTGGCAGTGCCTATTAGAGGAGCTCTAGTCAGCATTCCAGCTGTTGGCATGTCAGCTGTGTATATTTTGTAGAGAGTGGAACCGAGGACACTGCCTTGTGGGACTCTTCACCATCGACGACTACACAAAATGTTCTATCCTTCAAGAAGCTTCCCACCAACTGGAACAATTGTGGCGTTAAGAGGTTCTTCAATTTACTGAGAAGCACAGGGTGCCAAACTCTATCGAAGGTTTGTTAAATAAATCTTTTACAATATCCCACGTTTGAATGTTTACTTTTCTCATATGTGCGGAAATCGTTTAATGGAGTTCAAGATAATACTGGATAATTTTCCATATATGGCAACGGGCAAGGCCGGGTAATACCCACTAGTTCTCTACATTCTCGACATTCTAGGCTCCAAAATCGTTAATCGTATTTTGTACAAATTTCGACTTGTTTCTAGACACTTTCAATTTGATTTCATATCACACTATTCATGCCATAATCCACAATTAAATCATGTAACCCTTTTTTTTAAAGAGTAAAGCAAACAGTTGATTTGGGCTAATTGCAAAAGCATTTCTGATCGCGGTGCCACTGTGCCGAGATAAGAGAGGAAATTTGTTTTTGGCGTTTGCTTTTTTTAATGTTGTCTGTGAGCTGACTTTTACTATAAGCTAATAGACAAACATAAACAAACAGAAAGTTCAGGTGTACTATAGGTGAGGGCTTAGCATTCATTAAAAACACACACAGACACACACACACACACATGCGCACACATTGTAACAAAAATGCCATTCATATGCCGATATCATCTGAAATAATATGAATCGATTTCTTTTGTCATTTTAGAGGTCGTAGAACCTAATAAATTCTATTTTAGTGACTGCTATTTTAATGTAAATACAAGCAATAACCTTTATATTAAGCACAAAACAAAGCGAAACAATAAATATTTATATTCTGTGCTATTTGTATAAAGAATTTTAGCATTCTTAATAGAATGATATTAGGGAGCATTTAAATGATAAAATATTTTAAATAAGCAAATAATTAAAGAGCAATATATATATATTTCAAGTTATAGCAAATCATTTTTGTAAAACATAAAAAATGTTCTTTACAATTCCTTCTTCCTCTAATTACTTTGTACAATTCGTCAAATAAACAAATGTTATTCTATATGCTAGTATTATTTAAATATATGGTGCCTCTAGCAAAACCGCGTGGTTCCAAAAAAGTTTACTTGTAGCATTGCCAATGGGAAATAAAAGAAAATGTAAATCTTAGAAGTGATTAATTTATTTAGATAAATAATTATAAATAATTTATAGCTACAGAGATTGAGGCTTTACGAGCGAACACTGTATTTGTATACAGTTCTATGTATTCGCTTGCCAAAAATAAAACAAACGAGAATTTTAATTAAAAAGTCAATTCGTAACGACCTTACTGAGATGCAAAACGCTTTAGCTTTTCAGCCATAGCCATTCCAGTCGCCGCCAGACTATTCCATATTACGTTTTACGCTTTTCTCTACACATGCACAGTTATTTGACCCTATTGACTGAGCCGTTATATGCCAAAAAACGTTTGATTAGCTAAATGCCAATTGGAACACTCAACTGCCATCTATCAAAAAACTGTGCTGCGTTTTCAATGCCAATAAGAAAGTCGCGTGCAAAACGGCTTATAACATATTTATGACTGTTGCTCCAGTCTTGTTGTTGTTGTTGCTGTTGCTGCTACACGTATCTGTTGCTTGGGGTTATTTTTTGGTATCTGGTTTGCCGATAAGCGCACAAAATTCATGTTGAACAACGCGAGCAACACAACAACAATGACCGAAAAGGCCGAGTGACGATTTTGTTTACATTTTTGGTGCTGTTGTTGTTGTAGACAGATTTTCTAATAAACCATTTAGAACCGGTTTTCTTTTTTTGTGATACCCATTTTCAAGGAGCCAAAACCGGGTATATTGCAGTAGTGCACATGCTTGTAACAGGAGGCATGAATCTAGAAATGTTCGCCTGCCAGCAGCTAACATTCTGCAAACCTACCCAAAAAAATGAAAATGAAAGTAAAAAAAAACATTTAAATGGGATAGTTTTTGTGGGGCTAATGGGAAGAACCGAAGCTATAATCTAAGTACAGGGTATCTACTGGTCGCTTTTTTGTGCATTAGAGCACTCTTGATTTTCCTTTTTATTTTTTTGTGAACGGTTTCGGCTTTGGACTTTTTTTTGCTTTTGCTTTAGTCTCACTACCACGAAGAAGAAGCAGCAGCAGCGGCAGATTCGAGAGCATCAAATTTCATGCTGCACACACACACACCACACACACACACACAGACACGCACTCATGCCTATGTAGTTGTGTAAAAAAAAGCTTGTTTTTAACAAAAACGAAGCTCTTTCATTTTTAGGGACACGAACAAAGACAACAACAGCAAGCAACACTTTTAATAGGCTGGCAAGGGGTAAGATTTTTGGTCATAGATTAGCATAAAGCACACACACACACATGTAAAGGCAACAAAAGCAAACCACAATGCACAATAACAATAACAATGCTCTTGCTAAATGAAAGAGAGAGCAGAGCAGAGCCAAACACCTCACTCCCTTGTATTTCACCATGTTCCATTAAGATGGTGTTGTCATTTTGGCTATTATTTTATTTAATTTAACTTGAAAATTTGGAAAAATTATGTTAAACAGCAAATTGGATAAACCGAAAAAAAAAACAGGAAAACAATTCAATTTTATATAGCGTTCGTTGGTTTTTTCTGTTTTCTTAAGCTCTTTAGCTAGCAGTTGTATTATTTTAAATATTTAGCTTTTTTTTCTGCCATTTAAATTCTGGCAACACTGTTGTTGTCAATAAACCGTTCCCACTCCCTCACACACGCACTCACCTTCAATGCAAACGACGTGATCGCGTATCTGTTGGGCAATCTGTGCGTCCGGCATGGGCAGCAAATCGATTAAATCGTAAATAGCATAAATCGATGGATGAACGCTCTCGAAGCGCTGTATCTCCTGGCGTATGGCCAGCGAATTGCTTATCAGCGGCTGCGGCAGTTGCGTTACCAAAATTGAGGCGGCAGCAGCAGCGGCGGTCGCAGCCGCAGACGACGTTGACTGGCTTTGGTTGGTTGTGGGCGTATGATTATGACGCTGCTGCTGCTGCTGTTGTTGTTGTTGTTGTTGTTGTTGTTGGGGGAGCGCTGCTGCTGCCGTCGTCGCTGCCAACTGTAAATGTGGCGGCAGATGCTGATGATGATGTTGCTGAAGATGAAGATGATGATGGTTCTGTTGTAGCTGGTGCTGCAGCTGCAGTTGCTGAATATGCGACAGCGACGCGTGCGGCTGATAATTGCTCATTGCGCACGAAATTAGCCAACGTTTTTTTAATTAACTTCAATTACTTTGCCCGAGATGCCGATAGAGCCCCAAAAAAAAACGTAAACTAAACGCGCACACACATATACACACACGCACACGTATACGCACAGGCAATGGCACAATTTTCGCTAAGTGAGTTGACAGCACACAACAACATATTTGCCATACAGCAATTACACGAACACAAATAATTGCGAACTGTGAACAGAGATTATTATAAATTTTACACCTGTTTCACACATAAATAACGATTTTTAAAAACGCACTCAGAACACTTGCACTGACTGTGGCCCGTGCTTATGTGATGGTGTGACCAGAGGTGGCGAGTATAAAAATGCCTGCATTTATTTTCTTAAAAATACCAATAAGTGCCGGCATAGAATCGAGTACTTTGTCGCAACTCATGTCGTAATATTAATTACAAATTATTATTAAATAAAAATAACAAAATTATGGCACAAAGCAGATTGGAAAAAATTGGCACTATTTTTACCAGGTAAGTACACCCGGAGCTGAACGTAAACGTGTTAATCTTATAGCAATTCTATAGAGTCCAGGGCCTGCTGCGCGGTGGAGCCATGAAAGCGGAGGACAAGCCCATCTGGTACGATGTCTATGCGGCGTTTCCGCCCAAACTTGAGCCTCGTTTCGACAGACCCGCCTCAGACATACCAGTGCGTAATATTTTCTATGCGGAGGATGTGGTGCGCGCGTAAGTTACATCGCCATCAACACAACCATGAGCCTGGTCTAATATTAGTTTTCCACAGCAAACTGCACAAGCAAAATAAACCCCATGAGACCATTTCGCTGTTCGACAACAAGCGTGCCACACATAGCCAGCAGTTTTTGCAAATCTATGAACAACTAAAGTCGCAAGGCGCATTAGATGACCAGCGCATTTACGAGACGGCTTTGGATTTGTTTGCGGAGCAACGGAAACAAACGCGCACGGATGTGGCCGAGGAAAATCAGTTAGCCGGCGACAGCGAGCCGGAAGAGCCCAGCAAGAGCACCCTGCTCAGCGATTTCCAGGAAGCCGGTGAGCAGCAGCTGCAGCAACAACAGACGACACCAGGCAAAGAGAAAAAGGAATCCACCCCGGCCATTAACATACAAAGCTTGTTTAAGGATTAGGCTCCGTTTTATGTTATAAACTAAATATACAAAAAAGGATTGTTTTTAGACCGCAAGCGCATCGTTTTGCGACTCGTGGCTGAGTTGCGTCTGTAGATTGGAGAGCTTGTTCTTTAGCACCTGCACGCCCATTATGACAATATTTTCGGGCTTTAAAGCTCCCGAAGATTCCACATTAAAGAAAAATTTATTTGGTTTGGCCTCCCAATTATATGGTGCCTCATACTGGTCATCCTCCAGCTCAGTATGCTCACTTTTCGGCCACTCATCGGGCTTCGGATAGAGCGTGTGTCGCATCGAATTATCCGGATCGTATTCAAAGCAAACACCCGCTGTGGGATTCCATTTGGCGTGCTCCTTGCCGAAGCCCTTTTTGGCATAAGCGCGTAGCTTAAGCTCTTGTCCCTTTCGCAGTTTGATTATCAGTATCTCGTCAGTGCTCTCGCCATATTCGTTGTCCTCCTCACCCTGATTGCGCGAGGTTACAGGCAGCACCTTCGCGTTGCTGGACTTCAAGTCGGCGGTGGTCACGTGACGTGTCTGCTCCTCGTTGCACTTCACGTCGAGCGTAAACTCGACGCTGCATTCGGGACAAAAGTCCAGGCAGATGCAATCGCGTGTATACTGCAAGCGCTCCACCACGTCATCGGATATCAAAGGAATTAGGCCAATGCGATGTGCCAGGAACTCATCCGACAGCACCGTGGAATTCGCCTCCAGCTGCACCCAGTCTATGGCAAGTGTCGGTGTTTCGGCAATGAAAACGCGACGTAGACTGTTCGCAACGCTCAATTCCGTGTCCTCCAGCACAAACTTAACATTATCGTCCGTCAGCTCGGTTATTTGCACAGATGGTTGATTAGCATACGGCATTTTCACCGCACTTTTTTATAGTTAAGTAGAAAAAAACAAATAAGCAGCGCTAAAATGCCGGAAAGCAGTAGGAGGCGATAAAGCGATGGCAGCTATCGCATAGAAGGCTCTCATTACATCCTATCGATAAATGAAAAACAACTATCGAATACCAGAATAGAAAGCTCAAGGAAGAATATAATATTGCGAAGACTAGCAACTATACATTATAAATTCAGTTAGCCGGAACTAATAGATTCCGATGTTATTATTTAGAAAATGAGAACTGTATTTCTTAAATGTGAACTTTTCAAGTTCTGCCCTAATACAATAACACCAGTGATTACACCCTATTCAATATATCGAATGGAAGTCTCGATTTATTCAATATTTTCAACTAATCTATACGTCAAACGTTTTGTAACACTAAACAGTTAATAAATCGCGCGACAATGTTGCGAATTTCTGCTCGGTTTTATTGCAAAATTGCCACTCAATCCAGTTTTAAAGCGGCCGAGTACAAGAACAAAATAAAAAAAGATAAAAAACTGAATTTTACGCAGCTTTTGCATCCGACAAAGGTGCCACAGACGCCCGTACCGGCGGCTTTTTCGGACCCCTCCGAAAACGTCGTCGAAATAGATACCAAAACAATTCAATTGCTAGAGCGTTTATCCTTGGTGGATCTGGACAGTGACCAGGCGCTGGCCACGCTCAAAAGCAGTATACAATTTGCAGATAAAATAGCGCACATAGATACGCAAAACGTCCGCCCACTGTACACGGTACTAGAGAAACAGCAGCTGCAGTTACGCAACGACCAGGTTACAGCGGGCGATAGCCGAGCAGAGCTGCTGCGTTGCGCCAAGGTGACAGACGAGGATTACTACGTGTCACCGCCGGGCAACATACCGCTGGAGCAATAATAAGCATGTCCAATCGCCTGGGCCGCTGCCTCAAATCACTGGAAACCACTGGCTTCCTGCGCTGCTCAAATGATGCAGCCACTCCCCATATAGAGCTGTTGACTCATGGTTCTGCTTATGCCCAGCAGCTGCTGCAACATTGGCTCAATATGCGCCAATTGGCTGTCAATTTGGGCAGCGTTTCCTCTAACGAATCACTTAGTCAGTCGCGTTTCGCCTTTGTGCATGGCCAGCAATTTCGCCAGCAGCTGCAACAGTTGCGCCAGACACATTCCAGCAAAGCCAAATGCCCCACGCTGCTGAAGCAACAACTTAGGTGCACATCGTACAACCCGCCATACCACACAATCTTCCAACATGCGCAGCCTGTCACACAGTTGATCACAGATTTCTATGTAGAGCCGCATCGTGGACTGGAGCACTTTTACAATGTGCAGCGCGAGAGTAAAATCTGGTGGATGCGCTACTCCTCCAATCCCAGTCGTTATGCCATTGTGCCGCAAACCGAATTGGAACAAGGTGCAGGCTACCAGGCGATAGACATACGCGCTGCCTTCGGGGATGCGGGCGCAGTGACTGTAGAGCAACTGAGTCTAGTGCCGCTTCCGGATCATCAGGATTTCCAGCTGCCCGATGCGCGCACTGGCCAACTCCAATTACCTTCAGTCATACGCTCTGTGATCGAACTGGAGACAGCTAGCTGTGCCCTACTGCTGGACGGCTGTGATCACGGACGGGAGACTCGATCGCTGCTCCTCAATCGCCTGCTGGCGCCTTATCAATGCGCGATTACAGGCATACAAAAGACTGAGCACAGCTCACAGGATCTTCGCGACTTGTGTGCCCATCTGGTGGATGTGTTACAGCGTGCAAGTTTGCGCGTGCAGGGATCTGGCTATGTGCTGGCCGGGAATAGGCATCAGCTAACAGAGCAGCTAGAGCTATATGACTGCCTGGGCATACCCTATGATTTGCTCCTGGATGAGCAGCAAACGCTGAGCAATGGACTGCTGCAGTTGCGCAGCCGCGACACGCAGCTGGCGGAGACCGTGCACATAAGCGATTTACCCGACTATTTGTTAAATATTTTTAGAAACTATTAATCGCCTAATATACATGCATATGGATGTTGATCAGAGTTTTACAATTTCTTTATTTAAAAGACAATACAATACTTCCACTCTGCTCGTTATACTATCAAAGCATTGACTTCCCATGGCTGTCATTTAATATACACTTATTAACTTAATAATAGTAATAATACAATCCATAGAAGATTACATAAAATCGCATAGATATTGACGCACATTGAAGCCAACGACTTTGCCTATATAAATGACAAATTCAAGACCCACGGTGCACTGCAGCTTGGCGGAGCCATCCATAATGTTTTGCTCGCCCGAGACAAAGCTGAGCAATTTGAGATGCACCAGCGTGGAGATTTGCGACAACAGATTGCAGGTAAGGCCCACCTTTTCCTCCAGGATGGCATAGAAAATAGCCAGCAAGCGATCAATGCTAAAGGATTTGGGACCCAACGTAGTAGACATCTTCTCCGCATTCTGTTAGACAGTTGGATAGCATTAAGGTACATAACTGAACAGAGTTTACAAAGTGCTTACCTTGGCTCTGGCATTGACCGTCTGCATGCGCTTGCGCTGCTTGCCATGTTGCTTGACAAACAGGCGCTTGTCCTGCTTCGGCGAGTTGTGGCTGGCCAAGAACGCGGCAATGAGCAGAAATTTACCATAATAGGGCAGCTCCAGCGACTGGGCCAGCTTGCGCACACTCTGATCCTCAATATTCGGCTCACCCAGAGGTTTCTCAATGCGCATGTAGATCTGGGTTAGAGCCGAGCGCAACGGTCCAGCTATGTGCCGCCAGAGACGCGACACATCCGTGCACTCCACGCTGCCATCCAGCACGGGCTGCATGTATATCGCAAAACATTTACGGGCGGTCAGCCGCAATTCGGGCACATCGCGACACGCCTTGTAAAAGACACTGAGAAAGAGATTCAAATAGTTGCTATAGAATTCCTGCGTCAAGGCCTGCTCGCACAGGGCCAAACGCGGGCCATCGCCTGTCAGTTGTTGTTGCTGCAGCATTTGGTGTCGCATCTGTTCAAAATCACTGCTGAGTATGCGCAACGCCTCCGCCTTGTTATACTGAGGCAGATGCAAGCTGATGACCTCACTGAGACCCGTCTTGTTGTAGTACTTCTCAAAGGGCAGCTGCGAGAGCAGCAGCACACACAGATTGAGACTGGTCAACTGCTGCAGGCGCAACAGCACAGGCAACACGTTCGCATCCATATCGCGCAGCCGCTCCGCATTGTCAATAGCTATGAGGAATCCTCGGGCGCTGCTTCCATGCCAGCGACGCAGTTGCTCCA